TGCATTTTTGAAAAGTAATATATGTTTTGTGGGGTTTAGGGTTTCACTCACAAGTCCGGCAGCAAACATAGGCACGATCAGTGGTTGGTTCTTGTCTCCAGTGAACAACTACGAGAGAAATTCAAAACCATAGACAAAAAAGTTATCAAGCCATATCAATAAAAAAGAAACAGATAGAAAAAAGTCAGCACCAATAAATATCAGTATCAAGTTAATAGCGCAGAACACAAATCTGACAAACAGCTGAAATTAACAATATTGAATGCCTATTAGGCTTGCACTCTCAAGAACTCACAATATTCCTGATTCCTAGGCAATTCAGAAGAATTCTGTTGCTATGGGAACCTGCCCACTTAAACTTAAGGCCATGACTGCCGAGAATGTCCTGAAGGTGGCGCCACATGACCAATGCATTTCTGCAGAAAAAAAGACCTTCATACCCAGAGTTCCATAAAATACCAAACTGAACACATGAGATATATTTAAAAACTAGAGCTCCTATAAATAGAAGCTGCAAGTTATATAAAGGTAAATAATAAAACAGACAACTGAGATAAGGTTTACATTTTTTTTTTCATACTAGTGAGCCAAATATGCAATTATATTCTGAAAATAAGTGTAAAAATCATATTTATGGGCAAACAGTAACAAAGATGTGCATACTCCTGTGCAAAAAAGGAGCTGCTTGGATCCCTTTGCTCCTGAGGATCCTGAGCCGGCAGGAATTTATGAAGAGGCAAGACCTCAGTAACCTCGCTGACCTCAGCATGGACATCTAAAGGGAAGGCGGTTTTGAAGAGATGCTGTATTTTGCAGCTGAAATCAACCTGAGAGTGATAGAAAACACAGGGCGCAGTTGGAGAAATGTTTGGTGTCAGTCAGATTAAATTGTTAATTGGTCGACAGATAAAAGGGCAATATGCAGAATTCAGATAAATCAACTTATTACTTCCAGTGTGCACGCACAAAATTAAAAGAGTGGGAACGTGATTCAATATCCTGAGTAGATTAAATGTTTTCATGACAAATTTTAACATTCCCTAGCTTTCCCAGCAAAAAAAGTTCCCATTTCCCATTTAAAGTGAACAGGTTTCTAGAGACAACCTAGGATTTCATGGAGGTCTTTTTTTGAGTTTCATTACAGCAGCAGTTAATATATCACAAATCTGACTTACAATTTCTTCAACAAAAAGCTGTTGGGGAATTGAATGAGTTGAAATTATGTATTAGAATTTTAATCCTATCTTAATCTTAAAAAAACACAAAAACAACATAACATACTTTCACATTACTTCCTTTAAAAACTATGACATTTGATCAATTTAAGTCAGTTAAAGGTGCAGTAGGTGATTGTTTTCAGAAACATTTGTGTTGTGCTGGTTAAAAGTCTCTTCACATTCCAATAATTAAAGTAAATGATCTAAATGTGTTTAAATGTATTTTTATATTCTGGGTGAGGCATAAGACTAAAAAATGTTCATCTAATTAAAATTTGTTGGGCCGACAATTCCCATAATTCTGATAAGTAGCCCAAACTGTCTGTCAACAAATGTAGATTTGTACATCTGTGCATCCATTTTCATGCAGATCTGCCGTTTGCGTGTACACGAAAGAGTAACAGCAGTAAAATCAAAATCCTGAATCAAATTTTTTCTAAATCCTGAATCAATATTGAAGTTACTTTTGCACACTGGAAGAAGGATGACACCATGGCTGAAGTATTTCTTTTAGACAAGTAATGTTCTGTTTTAAAACTATTTTAGTCATGCAAAGCTGATGTAGATTTTTTTTTTTTTTGTGTGAATGGGTTATATGCTGTTCAGCCACTGAAATCTTTTGGTGAAAGATTGATGTGACTATTTTCAGTTGCATAAGGCCCTTTTACAGCATCGATAATGTAGAGTTTTATTTAGTTTAACAACAAAACATAAGTAAATAGCGATATTTCGCCTAGCCTGCTTTACTGAGCTTAAGTTGGTTTTATATTCATGTTGGTTAATTTTTAAACAATGACAACCTGTGACGCACTCCCTGTCTTGTTTACCATGCTGCTCTGAATATTGGGTCTGAAACAGCATCCAAGTATCGCTTAGTAATAAGTGTAATTCCTGCACACCGCCGGTCAACCACTACAGTAGTCACTTTAGGACAAGGTGCGTGAGAGAGTGAGGCCAGCATAAAATATTGCACATTATGACAAGTTTTGCTTGCTACACAACTGAAAACGTGCTAGATATAATACAGTTTTTCATTCAGAATTGTAGCATTATAAAGTTTTCTAACTGGCGAATGACATGATCTAGTTGGTCTCTGTCATCTTTAAGGTGTGCGTTCATGATATCAGGAGGTGTGGCTTTGGATGGCAAGGGAGAGATTGTGTTTCGAAGATATTATGCTAACGGATAGCATTTAGTCAGATCACCTACTGCACCTTTCAAATCATAATATGTTACTTATTTTCCAACACTGAACAAATGTATGCCATAATGATTGACATCTGAATGACTCACAGTGCTACTCTGGATGTCTTCCCTAGAGGGCGCTGATGAAGTCTCAACATCTTGTTCTTCTTTACCGGCATAAGTGCTCTGTTCCTCTCCAAATGTGGCCCATGAATCCTGATCCCCTTTTGGGCTTTCACGTGGAGCAAATGCAGCCCAACCGTCGTCTTCTCCCCCTGCTGCACCTTCAAATGGAGCTGAACTAAAGTCTGCAAAACTGTCACTAGGAGGCAACTCAGAGCAAAAGCCTCCTTCTTCACCGGTCATTTCCTCAGCCAGCTCATCTTCCTCCTTGAAGTCTTTTAGGGTGTCAGTGTCACCAAAATCATCGTCTGTGGAGCACCTGGACATGGCCGTCACAAATTCAGGAAGCCCTTCCTGGGTCATAGATTCAGTCCGACTGAAGTCTGTGAAACCCTGAGTTGCATCTCTGAAGTCGCAGAAATCCTCGTCAGCTGTGGGGTCTGCAGATGTCTCAACTTCAGCATCTATTCCCACCTCTGAGTTTGCAAATGATCCATGAATTTCTATTGTGTCTCCACTCAGCTGCATGTCAGAGATTAGATCCGCATCCACTGAGGAAACAGTTTCAGCTTCAGCTTTGTCAACATGGTCCATAGACTCATCTAGACAGTCTGCGGCAAAACAGTTCTCGCTTTGATCCTGCTCACCTTCAACCTCTTGTGCATCTCTACAGGAAGAAAGAAACTGGGAGTTGCCACATATCTCCAGCCCTGCTTCTGTGTCTCTGAGTTCACATGCTTCAGTACAAGATGAGTGATTGTTCGAGTCTGGCAGCTTGTCTGTTATGCGGCTTCTGTCTAAAACATCAGCTATACTGGCATCCCGTCCATAATTTACCTCAATGTGTGTGCTTTGTAAGCAGTTATGAAGAGACTGGTCCAGGTCTGAATTTGAACAAGACTCACTGTAGCCATTACTGAGACTGTGCTCATCACCTGTGCTGCTATTTTGGACATCACTGCCCATAGAGGGGGAGTTCTGGTCAGATCTATCTGAAAGCTCCACCTGTAGGTCAGAGGATGTCATGCCATTTGTAAGAATCCCTGATGATTCCTTCTCAGCTATTCCAAAGCTGCTGATTGATTCAGTTTCTCTCTCCTTCTCATTCGTCCATCCATTGTTTTCAGAAACGATGATATTCTGTGTGCATTTGATGATCAGGTCAGGTGGGGAGTCCTCCAGTGCATTTGATTGGTCATATGTTGTGGGCGTGTCAAGCTCAGACAAGCTAAAACTGGACGACACTCCTCCTCCGTCAAAACCCCCGAACTCACCAAACTCATCTTCCTCTTCTTCCTCTCCAGTCTCATCTAGAGGTGGTGGAGAGGAAGAGTACAGACGGACGACATCAGGCTCCATGGTCCACTTCCACCACCCGCGGCCACATGCACACACACCCCTAGAAGGAAAAATAAGAGAACAATTTTAGAAAACTTGTGCTGCATCCTAATTCGCATACTATCCGTGCAAAATAGTACTTGAAAATAGAATTAGTATGTCCCAAATCATAGTATGTTGAAAAGAGTATGCCAAAGGTTACAGATGGTTTAGTATTTCCAGAAAAATTCAAAGTCCATACTCTAACAGCTGATATTGCCCACAATACATTGCTGGTTGGACGTGAATTTGATTAGAACTACAAACACGAGTGAAAAGTGTAAACAAATTACAAACATGTCAAAGACCAACCGTCAAGTAGAGAGGCTTCGGTAAAGATGTTTGTTTGACTGTTAATTAATATCTGGCCAACTGGAAAATATTTAAATCGCATTTTCTTTCAACAACACTGAACTTATATAAAGACGTGTTAGAACATTATCCAAAGACCTGAGTATTTCTGTGCAATAAAAACTCGTGAATGGGAGACTAACCTGCAGCTGCGTCTCCAATGAGGTAAGAAATTAAACATGACAGAAATGTGGATGATGTGTGGATGATTGATATGGCTCGTAACGAAACAACATAATGATCTGTTAATGAGGAAGCAGTGTGTCCCAAAGCTTGCATACTCTTTTGTTACACACTCAAAAGTATATACTTTACCGTCACAGAAAAAGTACATACTTTTAAGGCATACGATAAGTATGCCAATAGGGAAGCAGTGTTGATAATGGTTTTAAATAATATTACTGGTCAAATACTCATTCAGCAAAATATCATGAAATATTAAGACTGACCTCACAGTAACATCTTTTGCATTAAAATTTTCAAGCATTAAACCTAAAAGTATACAGTGGTTTGCACACAGAGGCAAATTATATAAGCACAAACTGTGCAGGGGTGCACTGTGGGCTTTAATAGTACATATTTTATGTCTTTCAAAGCCATTAATACAGCAACCAATTCACTACCACCAGTATTTTTTTAGACATTTCTATTTTGAAATTTAATTTAACTGAAAGAAAACCATTTAAAATTGTTTTAAAGGGGACCTATTAGGGCCCTTTTAGCAAGATGTAGTAGGCTGGTTTAAGATTCTGACGATATGATAACCTTGGATAAAAATATCATGGCTTCACAGTGTTGTGATTACTACTCTAAATGTGTTCTTTTTAAATGTCTGGGTAAAAAACTTCAACTTTTTCCCTTTTGAACACAATATATTTTACATTAAGAAAGATTTAAATGATTTTGGAGCTAAATAATTCAAATGAATCATTGACTTTTGCTGTCTTCATTTGTTCCAAAAACACAGATTTATTTACAATTTAAAACAGCATCTTTGGATATGGTTTCTGCTGGAGAAACTGTTGTCCTAAAACAGTAAAAAAAAAAAAAACACTTACATATACCGTAGGAACAATATAGCAGAACATTTTGGCAGTTTTAAACCTTGACTTTTCCAAACTGCAGTATACCTTAAAAAGGTTATCATCCCATGCCTAATCCCTAGAGTGTTTATGTGACTTTTCATCTCAAAATACACCTCAAAAAATGTTTTATAACTCTTTTGCCCCTTTTTACATTTTTACAGTTAGCACTGGTTATTAGGCATGGGACGATAACTGCTTTCAAGGTATACCACAGTTTAGAAGTCAAGGTTTTAAAATCACCAAAAAAATTTGTTATACCATTCCAGAAGTTTTTTTTTTTTTAAGACAACAGTATCTCCAACAGAAAAGATATCCAAAGATGTCGTTTTAAATTGTAAATAAATCTGTGTTTTTGAAACTAATGAAGAAGTCAATGATCAATGATTCATTTGAACTATTTAGCCTGAGTTTTACCATTCCAAAATATTTAAAATGTTTCCCAAATTAAAATATATAGTGTTTAATGGGGAAAAGTTTTAAAGAGAACATATTTTAGAGCAGTAATCACAATACCGTGAAACCATTATATTTTTATCCAAGGTTATCATATCATCAGAATATTATACCGGTCCATGTCTACTGGTTATATTCACACACTGTTGCCACATAACTGTGTTTAAACCCCTTGTGATTTTTGCATAGTAATAGTAATATTTGCAAAGTGATTTTTGCATAGTATGTCCCATTTAACTTAATAATTGTCCTTTGTTTAGCATTGTGTTTAATGTCCTCAATACAAATTTACTACATATTTATTAATAGTGCAATTATCTCTTGTAGTATATTTTATGACTGGGCTTTTGTATAACCAGGGGTAATACACAAAACCATGTGACAGGCTTCGGGCTAAAGTAGTCAGCACTGCTAGATCAGAGAGCAGTCTATTCATTATTTACCAGCACTTTAAATGTAACCCCACTTTCATGGGCTCAATCTAGGGCATGGTTTAAAGAAAGCAGCTGAGAGCAACAACACTTTTTACTCAGTCTGCAAGCAGCAAAATTGCATTTAATAATTACATAATCTTCCTGTCTAAAGATTTGACAATATTTCATGGTGCTTAAAGTAACAAAAGCTACTAATATTTAACTATTTGTTTGCAGACCCGTTGCCTCAGTGTAGAGTACAGCAGTGGTGCAATCTGAAAAACTAATCTAAAATAGTGGATACATGCAAATTCCCTTACTAGTTTCGCATTGGTTAATGTTTCCTTGATTATGGAAGTTTCTGTCAAGCAGCAAAAACCTGCACTATTTTGCATAGCTAGACCTAACCTCAGTTTAAAACAAAACAATAAGCAAGTGGCAGCTGGATGATAAATCTAGAATGCAAGATAACACCTGTAGAACCTTAATCTCTCATAGAGCCAGCACTGATATTGATGATGCATCATGCTGATATAATAGATGCTGTTTGTAATCTGACTGATGAAGTAAATTGGGCCACACAGTAATCTTCATAAACTACATCTGAAACTTTTTTTAGTCTTGTTGTTTCTTTGTTTGTTTATGTTTATCAACATGTTTATTACACTGAAATAGAAATGCTATGAAACATCATTACAACTTAAACTAAAAGTTCTATTTTAATATATTTACAATACTTTTTCAAAAGATGTATTTATTGTTGTGATTTATTGTGTGTATGTTTATAGCAATGCACAATATCGACAACCATATCAGTATTGAACATTCATTTATTTTTATGTTGTCAACTGTATTTGTTTGCAATGCTTTTTAATCAGGATCAGAATCAAAATTTGCAATTAAAAGCCTATGTACATATCACTTATCAGATTCCAAATATGGTCAGTAATAAGTATAAACATATATTTTCGTATTGTTGAATCTGTTTTTTTTTTTTTTTTTGAAAGCATACATTTACTCAGGCATCTTAGATGAACATAAGCACTTATTTGAACTTTGAACCCTATCCCTAGCATTGTAAAATGCCTTCCCTATCACTTTCGATCAATTTCAATGCATTGTTGTATTCATTTAATTTCATTCATTTCTAAATAAAATCATTACTGACCCCGAACTTTTGAATGGTAGAATATGCTACAGCATTTGAGTATGTGTTCACTTGCGTTTAAACAGGCTACACGCTTGTGCACTTGTACTGCACAGAAGCTCTTTGATTCTAGATAACCGCACTCTGAAAAGTCAGTTACGCAAGCACACAATTACACTGACGTGGATTTGAATTTATATGATTTGAAATATTTTGCCTACTAGCCAACATGCATGAGTATTTTGTTTGCCTCAGGCAAACAGACAAGCCATGCTCATAAACACACGTACACACTGTGTAAACTTTGATATGTCCTTTTTGAAGGGAGTGTAAACTGATGAGGAAACCCAATCCAGTTCCTTTGTGCTGTCAGACAAACAGCACAGACTCAGAGCAGGAGCGCAAACATGGAGAGACAAACCTCCACTGCCTAAATAAAATCGTAAGGACTCCAATTAAGCCAGTATAATGCCAAAAAGTGGCTTTTTTTTTCCTCAGAAAGAAAGTTATAGTCTTGTCCAGCGCAATCTACAAAACCTGTTAGGGGTATATTATCTACTCCATGATCAAACTGGAAAGACTGCTGTGGTGATCAAACCTGATATGCAGCAATCTGTGTCTGTTTGGAACTGAAACACTAAATTGTTTATGTTAAACATAAGGTTGCTCAAAAAGTATTACAATTTCCATTCATTTAAAGATTTTTTTAAAAGAATGTTTTATTTTTACACAATCAATAATAATAATAATAATAATAATAATAATAATAAGAATAAGAATAATAAGAAGAAGAACATAATAATAATAATAATAATAATAATAATAATAATAATTATTATTATTATTATTATTATTATTATTATTATTATTATTATTACTACTACTTTTATAAATAAGAAACAATTGCATCCTCAATTTTAATGTTTATAAATACCAATGATTTTGCAAATATTACTTCACGCATTACATTGTGAATGCTGTTTTATTAATGATTGCTTGCTTTATTACAGTAAATGTCAGTTCACACCAAGGACAATAACTACTGTAACAATAATGAAAACTGTTGGAATTAAAAAATAATAACACCACCAAATTCACTATAGATATATTTTATTCCAGCTAATGAACATGCTAAAAATAAATAAATTGTTATCATCCACTAGTGTGGTGGACACATATATAGTTATCGTTGTGGGTATCTTTATGGTCATTAGTCTTAGTGTGAACCAGTCTAAATTCGATTAAAAACTAAAAGCATCAGTAAAGGCTGAAACATTTTTATGAAGATATTTTTAAAAATTAGGAATTGTCCTCTTGTTAACTGACTGACTCAACAAACACACTCAAAAACAGGCTTCTCATTGTTAGATGGATAACATACAGCATGTTATGTGCAATGCGTTACAAAATCAGCTCAACATTTAACAATGTCTGAAATCCTTTGACTGGAATCATCTGAATCTAAAACAAAACAGTCTGTGGCCATCATAGGAGATTGTGTCAAAAAATGGCAATTCAGACTGCCAAAACCTTTGCCAACAAGCATTGACTTCTCCAGATGGTAAATCCTAGGAAAAGTTGTGTCGTTTTTTCCAGCCTGAAGGAAGGCTCTTTTAAAGCAGACTCAGTAAATCATTTCTTTATGGTTCTTGCTCTGTGGACTGGGGCATTGTTATGCTGAAATAAAAAGGGCTCTCCACAGACTTTTGCAAGAGACATGTAATAATCTGAAAAGAGCTGCACAAAATATCTCTTCAGGATAGAAATCACAACGTACCCAACATAGTCACATCTGAGCATGTGCATTGTTGTGTAGCAATTACCAGGCACCACATTTCAGAGCGCATTTGATTTGTGGATTAACTGCAAAGTTTATCAATAGCAGAGTAAAAGTTTATCATTTGCATGTGTTGTAAGGCCTGTTACAGCGTAAACATTCCAAGTGAGTTTCAGGCAGAGATGTCCAAACTAGGGCCTGCGGGCCAAAGGTGGTTCATGGTCACCTTTTATTTGGCCCACCGTCCCATGGGAATGGTTTAGAAATTGTTATTTCAAATTTAAAGAAACATTTTATTTGTTTATTTTATTTTTAAGCTACAATAAAGTGATCTACAATTAAACATTTTAATTTAAATGGTGTAAATGTATCAGATTTAGTTTAAAATGTACATATGACAGATAAAAGATAATGCAGCCAGAGACTTTGGTGAGTGAATCAAAGCAAAGGCAGCTTCTGCTTGACTAGCGTTATTTAGCATTGAACTCCACTGTGTTATAAATGTAAATGTTTGATTTTATTGCAATAAGTTATAATTAAAAAGTTATACTGCATTAGTTAATATGATTCACAGTAAAGTTTTCTATTTATTTTGAAATATTATGTAATGATTTAGGAAATTACACATCGCAACTTTACTTTAGTGTAAAATAATTTGGTATATTTTTCTTTGGCCCTTGGCTTTCAATGATATTTGGCTTTTAGCTCTTCATTCAAAAAAGGTTTGGCCACCCCTGATTCAAAGCATTCAGGTGAAGAATGTTTAGCATGTGTAGCTTTGGCAAAAGATGAACTGTATTTAACTAAAGAGTAAAGATAGGGTGTTATTTTAGATCTGGTTAATCCGTTTTCTGTACCCAAATACTATTAAACTTCCCAGAAAAACACAAAGGACCTGTTTTTTTCTGTATATATGCATTTGTTCTATTGTATTGTCTATGTATTATAATTTGTTTATATTATTTCAATCACTCTACAATAACAAATTCTTTCAAAACGGAGCAATTCAAGTCAACTTGTGGCATTGTTTTTATATTGCAGAAATACAAAACGTTGCACCGTCAGTTTTTTTTTTAATATCATATCATCTTATCAATATCATGCAGTTCTACTACATAATTGCCTACGTAATTTTGTAATAATAGTATACATCCACACAAAAATTCCCACAATCACCAAACTCGCCAAGTAGATTATACACATTTTTTAGCCATATCATTTATTGTAGTGCTATAGACTAACTCAAGAGCCTATTTCATCTCATTTGTGCATGTTTAGAAGGAAAATAAGGCCATGCATATACAAATGTTTACAAATGTACAGCCAATGACAACCCTATAGGCATTGCCTCTAGGCAAACAACTGACAAAACACAAACACCACAATAATGCAAATCAGGCGACTTTACCTTCCTGCTTCATTTGTAGATACAGAAATATTCTAATTACAATTTATATAAAAAAAAACGAAAATCAGATAGTAGATAGAGGGTTTTCCTTTAGGTAAAAGTATAAATTAGCCTTTTATAGAAATGATAAATGCTATGAAAGCAAAACATGACAGCCTGTTGTGTCATTCACGGCCAGTCACTGCATCATTTCGTCATACAGTGGAGCATCCTTTGTGTTTTTAAAGTCATACATGTTGGAGCAAGATGACCTAAACCTAAATATAAACACCTGTAAATAATGAGCTGGTCTAGAGGAAGTATTGTGAGCGAGCTGTCACCTCTGTTATGGTGTTATGGCACGAGACGACTGTCTTCAGCCGGTGTGCTTTCTAATCCACTCAACGCCTCAGAACAACATGTCTGGGTGATAAGAGATTTACCTTAATACTGTCATTGACGTTGTTTGAAAATTGTTTATTAGACACTCTTGTTCTGAAGCCTTGGTGATCTGACAAAGGCGAGAGCAGCACATTATTTACATTCTTACCTTTTCCTATCCGCTACGGACGATCATCATGACAGACACTGAAACTTCAGTGAGAGGACAAGTCCCGTCTCGTCTCGTCCAGGTAAAGTTACACCGGCTCTCACAGCCAGTTCCTGCGCTCATCCGGTGTTCCGTGTCCAACAATATGCAACCGGAGACCCGGACCTTTATTATCACTCCGTCAGATCGCAAACTGTGGTCTACTGCCCCACGGTGGCACGGAGCGCTGCAACACTACGTCATGAAGAATACAAATCAAATACCATTGCAAAATAAATGTAGATTATTAGTTAGACAACTTCTAGATTTAAATAGTAATTTATTATCTTTTTTTTTAGATAATTTTAGTTTAAGAAATATGTTATTGTATTTGATGCCATACCTCAACAACTTCTTCATTTTATAAGAGAGTATGAAAATGAGTCTTTAGAAGGAAAATATGTTAAAGAAAACCTTTTTAAGGAGACCTTGATATCATTAAACAAAGTTATACTAATAAATATATTAGAAATATTATAACAGGTGATGTAGTTACATATAAAAATTTAAAATGGACCAATGAATAATATAAATTATACAATAATTATAATATATATATTTATAAATATAAAATAGAAGTCAAAGAAGTTACATTTAAAGTTGTACATTGTACAGTGGACAGCATATATAAGTACACACCTCACAAATCTCTCCTTTAAAATTATATTTTTAATAGGAAGCTGTAAAACATTATATTTGTGCATGTACATTAGATTAGTCAGTACTGAAGCCAAATCTAACAGAATAACTTTTGATAACGGACCAAAAACTAGCACACCCAAATTTATATGTTATAGAAAAATATTAAATACAAATTTTAAAAAGAGGAAAAATCAACAGAAGCAAAATATTTAAAATATTTAGTTGAAATTTGGTAGGTTGTAGTTTTCTTTTTGCAAAATTTTGCTTGAATTTAAATGTATTATCTTTCAATTTCTAAATATGCTTGGTAACTAAAATATTATTAATAAATAATAAAATGATCTGTTTAATAAACCTGTTTTGATTTAATGTACCATAACACATTGCTTATATTCACAGAGAAATGGATAAAAATATTCATTTTTTAAAACGGAATAAACTCAATTATGCTGAGCAATGTATACAACCAGTTAAAGGGGTTTTAGAATTATTCAATTTGGATATTAATTATTCCTGTGATTTTTGTTTGATGGAAAAATAATCTATTATCAATTTGTTTTGTGATTGTGCACAAAGATTTTTTTTTTCTTAGAAGAAAAAAACAATACTATATTTAGAGTACAAAATGTTATTATGTCAATATATGTAACAAATGTACCTTCCTTTTGCAGCTTTTTATTATTTTCTGAAAGTTTTATACATGAAAAATGAACTTTTATCAAAGCTAAAGTTTCTTCACTTTTTTTAAAGAGGCTAAGGACTACTGCACAAGTTTGGAGAACATTGTTAAGATAAAACATGTTTGTTAAAAAAAACATGTTTGCTCAATAAAAACAAATTAAAAATGGTAAAGCCCAGAGTTGCTGCCTATATGTCAGTGATAAAATAGGATTTAAAATTTTTATATATTTAATAAGACATTCATTCATTCATTTTCTTTTCGACTTAATCAGGGGTCGCCACAACAGAATGAGCCGCCAACTTATCCAGAATATGTTTTATGCAGTGGATGTCCTTCTAGCTGCAACCAATCACCGGGAAACACCCATACACTCTCATTCACACACATACATTACGGACAATTTAGCTTACCTAATTCACCTACAGCGCATGTCTTTGGACTGTGGATGAAAGTGAAGCACCCATGAACACAGGGAGAACATGCAAACTCCACACAGAAATGCCAACTAACATTGAACCAGCAACTTGCCTATAGTTTGTTATTATTGATAAAAATAGTAGCAGTAAAATACTACTAATGGTTAATTATATTTAACTATTTAACAATGTATATAAAGCATATATTCTTTCAAATATATAGCATTGCATTTAAAACAATTATATTCACTAAGTTATATTTTTGTTATTAATGATAAAAAATAGTTGCACTAAAATATGAATATGAACATACAAAATTTATCTGCAAACAAAATTTTGACCTTTTTACAGCCAAAAGAAAATGAATTGTATTACTGTTTTTCTTTTCATTGATTTTATATATATATATATATATATATATATATATATATATATATATATATATATATATATATATATATATATATATATATTATGTTTGTAAAAAATGATGAAGTATAATATTATTAGTAAAAAGGAATCTACAATAAGCAAATATTAGCCAAAAATAAATAGATCTTGTTGCATTTGATTGCTATTAGACCGAGATAGACATATATTTATTGTGAAAAAAACTATACAAATAAACTTGAATTGAAAGTAATAATTTCATAAAAGTTGTCGTCAAAAACTACGCCATAAATACACCTGAAAGCGTTTTGTTAACCATTTTTTCTTTAGAAAAAAACATTTTTTTTTAGAAAAAATGTGAGGGAAGTGTTGTAAGGGAAGTCCCTCTCTTCAGTTGAGTCCCACCTGGACCGGAGCAGGAGGCCCTTCACCGTCACATGACCGCCTGTGCGTACGCGCCGTGGCTGCCAGTGAACATGGCGGATGAGAATGCTGAAGCGGAGCTCGACTGGGGCGGCCGACACAGCCTGCTGGTCGACGAGGACACATTTTTCGCCATGGAGGGTTTGCAAGCAACCCTTCAGCAACACGAAGCCGAGCTTCGACAGCAAGACGTTTCTGAGGAATCGTCCACGGGTTATTGCAACAACTTCTGCGAGGTACGGGCTGCCGAAAACGCTGCATGCATGCGAATTGTTTATATGCAAAATTTTCGGAGCTTGCTCGCGTTAGCTGACCAGATGCAAGTTGTGGCTGCAACCAACCATGCGTGGATGTGATCTCAACATGTGGGCCGAACAGCGAGCGTCTAAACGCAATTCAACTGTTACAAGTCAATTGTGTTGGCATGTATAACGTTGTTAGCTTTAAGTTGACAATGTCAAATAGGAAGCTGTGTTATGTGTTCGTTAGCTTAAACTGAATTTAGCATGTTGCTCGGCTTCCCCTGCCCCCTTCGCGTTTAAGCTCGTCTTTGAGATTGTGTGTTACCTTTGGATTGTAAAATCGCGTGTTTGTGAATCGACTCTGAAGGCCTGTTGGAAAAGCCACTTCAGTATATTATTAAAACGAGCATATTTTGAACAGGGGGTACAGCATGTTTGTGGGGTGGGGCTCGGTTGTGTTTATCTCGTGCATGTACTCGGTTTCTACTAACTTTGATGCCCCCTGTCACGTGTCAATTGTGGTCAACATCGGGAGTATTTTAATACTCCGCGGCCAAACTCAGATCCGTTTTAAGTGATCCCGTTCTCTATGCGTTCATACCCAGACCTAATTTTAGTTCTGATCGGGTCTCAGTTTAATTTTCATTCATACTGTATAGTTTTGTTTGTTAGTGGTGTAACTAGGCCTGTCACAATAATCAATATATCGACTTATCGCACAACACATGGACATGACCTCAATAATTTTAAACTTTATAACTTTTTTAGTTCTTGCTACTTTGCACTTTCTTTTTAAATTATTATTATTTATTTGTTTTTGACATTCTGATTCCCATGTTTAATTGCTAAATTGTTAAATTTATTTATGCTATTCTATTGTCATTCTGGTTTTGTATAATAAATGGCTTAAATGCTCCTAAAATGACAATAATATAATTTATCACAATATAATTTGGTGCAATATATTGTACAACAAAAAGGTGTAACAGTATCTGTAATATGTTATAGATTTGTGTCACGTAGTAGAACATGTTTAGTATTTTCATTGCTTGAAATACACAAATTTACTTAATCATTTTTGGGGTAAATGCTAAAAACAAAGTGTTTGAACGATGTTTAAAAGGTGTGTATGTTTTTTAAAGACTAACCACACTTTATTTAGCTATTTTTAGTTGTCAAATGAGTACTGTAGTGAGTGTTTTAGATTTCACAGGAGATTTCATGGGGTATTTCAAGGGAATCCTGCTAGACACAAGCATTCAAATCAAAAGTGAAAGTACAAACAGTTCAACTGTTACCATTGCTTTATATTTCAAGTAATTGCTTTCAGAACAAAACAGTAGACTATGGTAGTTATTTTAAATGGTAATATTAGAATAATAACCAAAATCAACAAATTAGATTAAAGGTGTGACTCTGGAGATTGGAATAATCACTCTTAAAAAAGAGATTTGGCATCACAGGAATAAATTGCATTCATAAAATGTTAAATTGAGAAGAAATATACTTTAAATTGTTATAATATTTTATAATATTGTTTTTGTTGTATTTGTATTCCGTAAACCCTGCGTCTGTAACATAGGAGACATTTAAACATTAACCTAATTTTAAAAAATACAAAGACAAGGCCATTAAAGAGTGGCCTTGGTTCATTCTTTAAAAGATTGAAATTCTCACATTTAAAATTTCAACTCCTCTAAAACAAACCTTGTTTTATATACAAAATGTGGGTCTAATATCATAAATGCATTTTTTTAATTAATTGTAAAAACACGCTTAAATAATGCTGATTTCTTTAGCCTCTTTTCAGTTTGGAAAAATTGTAATTGAAAATACTTTGCAATTCAACTGTTAAAATGTTATGCAGAGTCTTGCATTGTGGTGTGATTTTGTCATAACTGCTATTTGACCACATCAGCCACACAAAGACATAAATTTTTTGAGTGTCATTAAAAAAATCGACTGTGACTTAGTGGTTAGCACTGTCCCCTTACAGCAAGAAGGACGCTGGTTCGTGTCCTGGCTGGGCCAGTTGGCACTTCTGTGTGGAGTTTGCATGTTCTCTCCTTGTTTGCATGGGTTTTCTTTTTGTGCTCCCAAAGACATGCAGCATTGTTGAACTGGGTAAAACTAAATTGGCCATAGTGCAAGACTGCACGAAATGGGACAATTTTGATATTGCATTATTTTTTTTTCCCTTTGATATATATTGTGATATAAATGCAATTTCACCACATGACATGAATATCTCTAATTGGCAAGTCATTACATTAGATAGATTGGAATGATTTGTAAGGGAGTGAAATATAAATCTATTTTATATCATTCATTATATACATATAATAAACTACATTCATAAATAAACACAAAGGAACGAAAATTTCAAAGTGAAATAAACAGAGCTTTAATGGTTTTCTGGGGAGTCTCTAACAGGATTCGTGGACAGAAATTGAATAATCGAATACAAAAGAGCATTGCATAGTTTTCATTATATAAATATTTCAATAAAATTAGTTTTTTACAAACTTTATGCTCTTTGTTCCTTTAAATGCTTTAAAATGTTCACAAAGGCCTTAAAAAAACATGAAAATGTTACACTTTCACTCTAAAATGGTTCAATACTGCAGTGTCTCCACAAATTTAATTAGTTTTGACCTGTGGATTCTGGTCATCTATATTCATAACTCAACATTGAAGATCTTGCGATGTGACTATTACAGATGCACACATTGCAATATCAATGCTCAAATGATATATTGTGCGGCCCTACCATACTGTATGAGTGTGTGTCTATGGGTGTTTCCCAGTACTGGGTTGCAACTAGAAAGGCAGTACATATGTTGGAATAATTGGTGGTTCCGACACCTGATAAATAAGGGACTAAGCCAAAGAAAAATAAATGAATGAATGAATAAGCTTCCTGTGGTATTGCTGCACTTGGTCATATGCAGCACATTACCAGTACCCCACTGGGAATCTAAAGGCCTATTTAGCAGACTACATATGAAACCGTAGCTTTACCTCTTTTCCTTCGCTTTATTGTTGCTGTGGCAACCACTCCATCAGGATTCAATCCTGACAGATGTCACATGCCACACCCTACCTGCCTGTTTTACGAGCTCATGTTAGTTTTGTAAAAATAGTTGTTAATAAACTAATTTCATTTGTACTTCGAGGGGTTTCTGGACAGCACAAAAATCCACATTTCGGTTGAAAAAAGTTTCCATTTCACATTTAGATCTGCATGTGTTTTGTCTTTTTTTTTGTGGCTAAAATACATTTGTCTAACTTTTGGATTAGGCTTGTTTAAATGATTAACAACTACATTAGTTTAGTTTAAACCAAAAAGCTGTCAATATTATAGTCCGTAAAACTGCACTATTTACTATTAAGACTTTGTTTTGACAATAGCAGAATAATTACCTAACCACTAAGAGTTTTTCTTCACTCGAGATGGTGTAGGTCTCAGAAGGAAGCACCTCTGCTGCTCTGAGCTGAGTCTGAATCTTAACAGAGCTATACCCGTTCACCCAGAGGGAAACTCGCCTAATCTTAGTCTGCGAGGTTAAACATGGCATGACATTTCCTCTCCCTATCGCTATAATAAGATATCAGCTGGGATTTAACATCCTTGGGGCGTGGTGTTTGTGAAAGTGGAGTTTAATCGTGGATATGATGAACAGCAAGGTTGTCTGGAGTTGCTCTGTTCTTCAGTTACATCTGCTTACATCCCAAAGGTCCAATCAAAGCCAATGAGCACAGATGGAGTGTTGTATCGGGGTTTCTCCTTGCACTCTCTCTTGTGTGGACCTGTAGGTTTACTGTACAGACAGCATGTTAACTCATGTCTGTCAAAAGACTCCTGTCAGGTGAAAGTCTAGCCTCATTTACCTCTGTATTAATGCTTCAGCAGAATGTTTGGGGTTGGTAAGATGTTAGTCTTTAATGATTTTAGATTTTGAGACACAATTGTAATATTGTATTATTTTAATTCACAATAATAAAAAAGAAATCTGTTAAAACACTTTTTGTAATCATGAAGCTGAGATTATCAATGGACTAACTGCAAGGCTATTGGTGTCGACTGACCCTTCAAAATATTTATGCTTTTCATAAAACTTTACAATTATTCCAAATGAGTTGAACTGTTTAATCCAAGTCTTCTGCAGACTTCACACATACTTGCACATATTCTACTTTGCAAAAATTATACATTTATTTTAAGGGTAGAAAATTATGAACAGAACATTTACAGAAGATAAGCATAAGTTTTGCCACCTTTGGTCAATTAAATGCATATTTACAAAATAAAATGGTTAATTCCTGAACCGTAGTCAATTGCTGCACAGAAGTTAGTGTATGCAGCATGACTTTAGATGATTTACATTAACAGACTTTTATTTTTGTGTTTATATATCCTCTAAAGAGCAGTAAATTGGGCTTGACTATCAAATGAAAGCATGTCATATCTGTGTGGTGTTAAAATTGATTACTTATTTATTTTTTGTTTATTGTTATAGGCTCTAATGCATTATGCTGGGAGCAGGAATTCGTTGGAACATGGATTGCCTCTATTGGAAGTTTACTGTCTTTCAATCAACTGTTTTGCTGCTGCCAGGCCACATCTCACAGGCGACTCCCCCAGTGTTGCCCTTGTGCTTAAAAGACTTGCATTGTAAGTGCTATTTATATTATACTAACAAACAATGGTATAATATGAATTAGTAAGTTATATTTAAATATGTATTGTCTTATAAATATTTTATATTCTGTCCAACTGATTCAGTGTATCATAATGTATCATTAAAACCAGACTGACATCATTTTTTTCAAAATGTTTTGACCTGCAGGAGTTGCCTTGAATTGTTGTTGTCAGTGCCTCAAAATAATATACCTTTGGAAGCCTGGCTGCAGTTCCATGGCTCAGTTCAGGTAAAATCAAATTTATTAATTTGTGGTTCCATGTTAAATTTTTGTGTGAAGGTTTGATTTTGGCTGAACAGATGAGAAAAAAAAGACATTTTTATGAACCAAAATGTAAACATTAGAAGTTGATAAGACCTTTTGCCAACTTTTTTTTATAGAAAAAGGTCCTAGCAGGGACCTAACCGGAATGTTGTATTTTAAGCTTTGCCTATACTTACACACTTTATTATGCATGCAATGCAAGGGCATTTGAGTAGTCAATTTTGATACAGAATCTGAGTTTGCTTGTACTTTATTTGCATGAAATAACATTTTAATGCATTTACAATCATCAAACATTGACAAGGTAAACAGGTCCACTAGTAATTATGGTTGCGTCTAAATCTGGCAAATGCTCCATTGAACTAGATCAAAGCATATTTCCCAGTCCACCTTTTAAAGACCTTTGTTACAAATGAAACAGCCTGTTAAATTAGATTAGATAGGGTTTTACTCTTGGTGTATTAAACAGGAAGAGGGATATCATACTATATTGATCCATAACGTAAAGTACAGTCATCCTGGATGATGCAACTGTGTGGTCATTTACCTAGCATTTACTGTCCATTCCCTGAAGACTTGAAGCAAGCTGTAAAAGAGTGTTATACTATACACTTTCATCTTTCTCTTAACTCTTTCCAGGCGGCCCATGAAGCCATGCTGCAGTATGGAAGTACAGATTTGCATGCCCTGCGGAACATCACTGGTGAAGGTGGAGCTTGGAACAATTCTGTCATGGTCTCGCTTCTCACCGGTCAGCCCACAGACCCGGATGAGGGTGAGGAAGACCTCATTAATACACTAATGTTCATTATTGCCCACATTATGTGTAAACTAAATAATTTTTTAATATAGAGGGTGATAAAATCTGTTGTTGTTTGTTTATTTGAATAGGCTAGCATTTTGTCATCCACTTAAGATTAATGATCATGTATTATTAATCTTGCATTGTAAATTGTGTAACACTTTCAACATCATTGATCTGCTATTAAACATGGCCATTTATTTACTTATTGTCTTTCTCTAAAACAGTAAATGCCTATCTAGCTCTGGAGGGAGATGATTTCATGGAAATGCGAATCAAACATCTGGAGAAAGTAGGCGAGCTAGAGAAAGCACTGATCCTCATCAAAGCCTGTGCTAACTGTAGCCTTCTGTCTAACCAGTCAACATTTCGCCAAACCTTTGTAACCCAACTTTGCCAGCTGCTGCCCAGTGAAGAAGCTATTTTAGAGGTAAAAAACACTGTTTTGACTGTTTACCATTGAACCTCCTTTGTGTTTTGGTAATAAACTAACTTATTTTCTCTTTCTGTGCCTACAAGATTTCTAGAATAGATGCAAAAGATGTCCTGGATATTATTTGCAACCTAGATGCTGAGGGCGATGAGAGAACAGCCTTCATCTTATGCACAACGTATTTTACACAGCAGCTACAGCAAGACAGCACATACTGTTCCTGGTGAGGATCTGTTATAACCACAGTAGATTGTGTTTGTACGAGTGTTTTCTAGGTTTATACGAGTTAAATGTTCATTGGAGATAAATGCAATCTAGTTTTTTTTTATTTCAAACTTTATTAGGGTCAACTTATTCGGGTTTTATAGTAAGTGGCATCATAGTTGGGATTATAAATATAAAGAAAATAGATGGGTGTATTAGATTTGCTTGGATGTCTCTGTAATGTTTTTTTTTCTCTGTTTGTCAGGGAGTTAACCCTCCTTTGGAGTAAACTGCAGAGAAGAATTGATGTGTCCCTTGAGTCATTTATCGAACGCTGTCTCCAGTTTGCAGCCATCGCCAGGACTATCTACCATCTTCTTTTCCTTATTCGTGTAATTCAAACTGAGGTGAATTTATTTTCTCCTCCTTTATATGGTTATATCTTGAATGTACACCAAGTTGTTTTCTGACATTTTTATCCGTTGTATTTTTTAGGCAATGCAGCTTGGCCTTGCAGTATCAGTTGAGCTGTGTGTGAAGGCTCTACGCCTTCCAAGGCAAGATGACATTGAAGCAAAAACAATGGTCTGCAAAGCTGTTGTCTGTCTTCTCCCTGATGATCTTGAGGTGATACGGGCTTGCCAGCTTACAGAATTCCTCTTGAGCCCATCCCAGGAAGCATTTGATATCCTTGAGGAGCTCTATCTGCGTCCTGATGAAAAATATGATGAGGAAAACGCCATAATTCCAAATTTCCTGCGCTGTGAGCTGCTACTTTCTCTGAAAGCACATTGGCCCATTGACCCTGAATTCTGGGACTGGAAAACTTTAAAACGCTACTGCATTCAGTTGCTGGGGCTGGAACCTGTGGATGAAATTGAAGATGAAGCAGCACCTGGGGAGCTATGTAATCTTGGAGTGGTTTTGAATGAAGAGGCTGGGAAGGAGGAGGAAGACGAATGTGAGCTTGATGCGCTCAGCAGCGCAGGGGAGCAGCAAACTGTGGAAGAATCAGAAAAGGGACAAAAAGATTCAGAAGATGTCTCTAAGTTAGCTGATAAGCATCAGAGGGATAAATTTCTCTGCCAGATATGCCATAAAGAAGTGGCAGAGACCCGGTTCTGTCACCACGCCAGAAAACATATGGAGGATGGCATGTGGACATGCCCTGTGTGTCTACAAAAGTTTAAAACTAAAAAGGAGTTTGAGCCACACTCCAAAAAACACATTCAGATTTCTGCAAAAGATCACTTTAAAAAGAAAAAAGTGAAGAAGAAGGTGGACCAGACTAAAGATTTCTTCAAGGAGGATAGTTCTGATGAGCTAGAGCCTGGTCAAATTCCTTTAGACCCTTCACTTGCCATGTACTACCAGTCCACCCATGATCCTGTAGTATTGGAACATATATTAGAGAAAGCTGCCAGTGTGCCTGAAAAGCAAGTAGAAAGTGACTATGTTACATTTGACTACATCAACACGTACTTTAAGTTACAGGATCGTGATGTTTACCAGTGTCCAGCCACTGACTGCTCAAAGAATTTTAAACTTTTCAAGTACCTGGGTGTGCACATCAAAAATGAGCATGATAGTGAAGACCCCAATTTGAAACATTATCTTAAGATGAAAGACTGTCGGGAGAAATGCACTTTCTGCCGGAAGACATTCATGACCGCCTATCACCATCGACTGCACCGTTGGATTCATTATGGGGATGATCCTTACATGTGTGTGGTCACAGGTTGTGGTGCCCGCTTTGACACCACCAATGAACTTTTAGCACATAAGCATGGCCATGGGTTTCGATTGTCCTACTGTTGTGAGTTAAAAGGCTGCAGTTTCTCCTACTGTGACCTTGGGCAGCTTTACCACCATGAGGCGCAGCACTTTCGTGATGCTGCTTACACTTGTACCAGCCCGGGGTGCAAGAACTTTTACTATTCTCGCAAAGAATTTCTGCAACACTTGGCCACTCATGACATCACTTTCACAGAAAAAGACTTTGAGGCTCAGAGAAAAGCAAAAAGGAAACTCTTGCTCGCAGTTGTAGAAAGTGATTCGGCTTTTGGATCAAAGGTTGAAACAGAGAATTGTGTCCAGAAAAGTGGTTCAAGTTCATCTTCACAGACCTTGGCAAAGGGTCGATCATCAGTCTCGCAAACATGTGTTGCTGTCTGCTTTGATGGTAAAAAGTTTACATGTGGCTTAAAAAAGTGTGGAAAAACATACACTACTGCAAGAGAACTTCAGAAGCACTTGAGAATTGCTCATTCAGACACATTTAATGAGAAGGATCAGTTATGCAAAAAGAAAGTACAAGTAAAGCATTCTACGACTCGAAATGAAGATTTACCTAAAAGTGACCCGGATAACACTGTAAAAACGTCATCTACAGAAAAATCTAGTCCCAAAAAGGCTCTCTCACCTGCGTCTGAGTCTGTAGATTGTGAGACAACCAAATCCAATTTGGACCTTGATGCAGCACTAACCAATATCATGCTTGGATTGGGCCAATTAAACCTTAATTCTTCCAACACCAGACATTCTATGTGTAATTCACAGAGCACTTGTACACCTACCTTGAATACAAGGTCTCCTGCCAAAGCAGCACACAGCAAAAATGAGTCAAGATCTCACGTCACAGGTAGTGAATCAAAAAAGCTGCCAAACAAGTCAGAATCACCAAAAACACATGACAATAATAAAGATGTATCTGATAAGAAGCAAAAAAAAGAATCTGTCTCAGAGGAGGAACAACCACAAAGCAAGTCCTTAACCAAGCCTTATAACTGCGAAGCCAAAAGCTGCCACTATCAGAGCACTACCAGTTGTGCTTTAATGCAGCACTATATTAAGGTTCATGGTTACTCCGAGAAGATGGTGAAAGAGATGGAGGTGTTTCAATCTGAGACATTGGAGCCTTTCAAAACACCTGACAGCTCTGAAAATTCGGTCTTGGAGGATGATCAATCACAAAGCGAGTTTCTTGTGCAGGCTACAGTCAAGCCTTATGCCTGTGAAGCGAAGAGTTGCAACTACCAGAGTGTTACTAGTCATGCTTTATTGAAGCACTACATCAAGATTCATGGGTACTCCGAAAAGAAGGTGAAAAATATGGAGGTGTTTCAGTCTCAGATATTCAAGCCTTTTAAGTGCCATTTGTGCTCCAAGAGTTACAGAAACAAAAAAGAACTGAGGCGTCATTATATTCAAATGCATCACATAAAAGAAGACATTGTTGAACAAATGAAGTGCTCTTTTAAAAAGAATGTAGTTGAAAAAGCACCAGTGTTGTCATCACCTAAAAAAAACACTGAGGTAAAGCCACAGTCTTCAAAGAAGGCTGATGTTAAAACCCAAAAACAAGACAATGCCCTTTGGCAACAGAAATGCCCAAAACATGATTATCGGTTGTGGGTCAGAAAAGTAGTTACGAAAAACGTGCATGTTAAAGCTGAAAAAAAAAAGAAAGCCTCTTCGGAAACTCGATCTGATGTAAAAAACACAACGGTTGATGTTCGGGGAAGCCGACGCTTAATTTCAAAAGGGAATCTGAGCTACATCCTCACTAAATACAATAAACCCTTTCACTGCGTGCACAAAAACTGCAATGCAGCCTTCAATAACCAGAATGCCCTTGTTGGCCACCTTCAGATGGTGCATCATTATAACCGATCACAGTTGTGCTTTCCATGTGAACACAAAGGATGCGAGAAGCAGTATAGCACCTTATCTAGTCTTACTAAACACTACAGAAGAGACCACAACTTCACCAAAAAAGAGAAAGAAAGGAAAATTCTGCCGAAACTGCCCTGTACATCTAAAAGTATACCAAAAAGACAGATGGCCTCAACAGAGGAGCCCATACCAAGGTTCAAGTGTACCTACGCTAATTGCAATGAGTCCTACCATCTCAACAGCAGCCTCTTGCGTCACACAAGTCAGTTTCACCAAAACCAGACCCCCCAGAATTCGGCTAATACTTCAGGGAACAACGAGTTTAAAACTAGTTATAAGAAGCACGTGTTCTATAGGCACTGTGATCCGTCTGATTCCCTTGTGGTGCGTCTCCAGAGTACACCCAAGAAAGAAGAGTCAAAAAATGGATGCCAAACGAAGTTAATCATCTCACCACCTTCCCAGTCATCAAAAGATTCCCAAAATATGCCTCTCAAGCAATCTTTGAGATGCTGCCGCAATGATCAGAAAATCAATTCCTCTGAGAATTTTGAGGGTGTTGAAGAAACACCAGAAGAGGAGCTGGACGAAGTACTTAAGCCGCAAAGAATCAACCTAAAAAATAGATTTGACCTGATTGTCTACCGAACACATGAGGAGGCTTTGCAGATGTGCCAAGACCGCTGCCTTCCCGTGGCCTTTCCTTGCATGATACAAAACTGTGACTCTGTTGTCGTAAGCATGCATAGTTTGAATCGACATTACATTAATGTTCACAGGTTTAAACGCAAACAGCTGACGGAAAATAAGGACAAATTATGTTTCACTGCTGAACAGTTGGAGGAGATCATACAAAAGAAGTCTGCTGTGTCTGCTATACCTGATTTAACAAGGATTCCAAATGGCGTTCTCAAGATGGAGTATCAGTCTGAGCCTGCCACTCCAGGTGGCCCGTCTCAACCAATGAGCCTCCATTCGATCAAAACAGATTCAAAGGAGAAAGAAGGGATTGAGTTTTCAGAAGAGCCGCTCCCTGACAGAAGTTTGCTCATTGAAGCTGAGGATTTGCTCTATGGCTCCCCAAAGTCAAGCGGGAACCCCGAGAAGCCTGTTTCTGAAGAGAGTCTCAACCACAAAGATGAGCCAGAATCTGAATTAACAGCACCTCCCCTCATACGCCCCCCACCACTTGACCTCTCTCCACCTGCTACACTTAGAATCACAGTTGATGAAAGTTCATTTGAAGCTTCTGGTAAAGACAGTAAATCTATTAATATTCCTTCTAGTGTTTCCATATCGGTCCCCACCCCAACTCGGCAGCCCCTCAGACGAAAGAATGAGCTCTCTGAACCACCACTACCACCAGTCCCTCTTTCTCCAGTCCCAATGGATCCTGTAGAGCACAGTCTATCCCCAAGGGCTTTTGACATTGCAGCATACAAACCTATGGGCTTCGAGTCATCATTCTTGAAGTTCATTAAAGACAAGGATGAGGAGATCAAACTTGAAAAACCATGGACTGCAGTAGTTTCTAATCCTTGCCTCAAGCCTGATCCAAATCGCCGGCGAGATTGTTTCAGACGAAATTGCTCAGTCAAGGAGAACACTGAAAGTGGAGCCCCCATTTCTCGAAGCCGCAGGTTTCGGTCATCCCCTTTGAGGCATCTGATTTCTAAAGGAGAGTGTACCTCTATTCAGAATCTCCGTATGATTTTAGAGAGAGCTTTAGGGGGGTGTGGCGACCAAGCTATAAAACAGCTACAGTTCCTGAAGCCTGTGGTGGTTCTAGAGAGGCCAAAGTCCTTTGCCTCCATTTTCGATCTCTTGCCCTCTGAAACTAAAGTATAAGCCTCTGCTGGGCACCAAGACGGTTAACTCTTGCCCACTTTTTTTATTTGAGAGACTTTCATAGTATTTTTTTATATCATTGATACAATTTTGGTTCTTTGCTGCCAAGGTTAGGTACCTTGATTGTTAAGTTGTGAATGTTTATATCTGTAAATAAGGTCAAATAAAAAAATGAACAACAAATAATTTCAAAAATGCATGTTCTGTTACTTATTGCATACACAATACACATTTACACTTCTGTAACAAAAGTAATTTTAATTGATTTCACAATCTGGGGTGGTTTATATACACTGATAAAAGAAATGTATAGAGTTAGAATTGCAAATCAAATTTATTTGTGAAACAGATCTAACAAGTACAGCATTGCATAAAATATGTTTGGAATCCTTAGACCTTCATCCTCAAATGGCAAGCCCAAAAACACTAACTATGCAGTAAATGGTTTTATTCTCCCATCGTACTGTGCAGCTCCCTGTGCAAAAAAAACAACAAAAAGAAAAAGAAAAAAAGACCATTTCAATAAATTATTTTCATGCTTGGATTACAATTGTTATTGGAAATGTTGGCGTCTAAAATTCTGATCAATTATACAAATAGCCTTACCATCTGTAGTGTTGTCCCAGAAACACGAGCTGGCAGTGTGTAAACCTGCCCCATTTTTTTGCAATATGATGCATGTCACTGTTTGAACAAACAGAAAACCATGGATTTGGTTCAGGTCCTTTACATAATAACTTATCTAAATATGGTTACCATACCTATGTACTTGAAAGGTTTTCCTAATTTAGTTAGCTGACTCAAGCTTAATTCTGCAATGCTTGACATCCACTGATTAATTTTTTCGTGCTGGTATGAATTGTTTCCAATGGTGGTTTCAACAGTCTGTCATCAAAAGATGTCACAATATTAGGGATTTTTGAAACGTAACATTTACACTTACTCGTGCAACAAAAGTTATTACATTTACCCCGGTTTCACAAACAAGGTTTAAGGCTAGTCAAGATTAAATAGCTTGTTTGAGCTTTCTCAACTCAAAATAACTTGCAGTCAGATGTCTTAAAATACGTCAGTGTCTTTTTTTGTCTCCAGGTGCACACCAGTAATATATTTTTCTAAGGCCATTTTTATAAATGTGGCTTAAATAGCCTAATTTAACTAAGCCTTCATCCTGGCTTAATCTAAGCCCTGTTTGTGAAACTAGGCCTTAAAGTTTAGGATTGACTTTAGCCACACACACACACACACACACACACACACACAAATATATATATATATATATATATATATATATATATATATATATATATATATATATATATATATATATATATATATATATATATAAATTGAAATGACATGCGCTTACCTCTTTGATAATAGTGGTAATCTCGTCCACAACAAATGTAGTCTGGAGAATAAATACGTAAGCTAGTTAACGCCTGTACGCAATAGTTATGGCATACAGAACCATGTAAATGTTTTAAATATAGGCCTACAAATATTTAGAAGTAGAAATTACAATACGTGTACATAAAACTTTCTTTTTTCCCTTTTTTTAAGTATCTGACTTAATCACCTCTTCAGATTGATCCTCGTCCATTGCGCCACTTCTCTGAATGTTTTGTAGTTTCTACGGAGACAAGACTATTGTCATTCCCTCCCTAGATAGTAATCACGGCTTCTAACAACTCGTTGCTACCAAGAAACGGTTTGTTGTCAACCAGGAGTCTTAACAATTTTTAGTTTTGTATTTAAATTTGAACAAGCACACCCAGAAATACACGTATTACACGTATTATCAGATGTCTTATGAATTTAAGTTTTAATCTCTTAGTTGGCTTTATTCGTTTCGTTTAGCGTTTGACATTTAATTAATTGTAGTGTCATATTTAAACGAATATATTGCATATCTGTAGTTGTTTCTATAAATCAAACCGGTTTATCAAACTACAAAATCATTTCATAAATTATAAAAATATAAAAAATATGTAGAACTACCATAGGAACCAGTTTCATCCGCGTGTTGTGTTTGGTCGAACACAGTTTGGGGTTACACACATTTCACATGAATGGGTAAAGGAAGTGATCGAGCAATGAGTTTACATTATTTTTGCATCTCTACATGTAGTGTTTCAGTATATTGACACGGTTTCCTAAGTTACAAACATCGTGTTGTTAGCTGTGGGTAGGTAGGAAGATTATAGTCTGTCTTGAATGATCAGGATCTGCTGTAATACTGCACACCGCCGGGATAGTCAACAGTAGCAACAAATAACTGTCGAGACGTCACAATGCTCCGGGAAATTCTTGCATTATCAGTTGAAGACAAGATATTTTACGCTGTCCTGTTTTTCTCATGGACGGTGTATGTTTGGGAGGCCTACCTCGCCTATAGACAGGTTAGCTTGTGCTTGTTTTCTTCTAGGTTGTGATTGTGGAAAGTCAACAAATGTTTTTCACTTCTGATTCGCTTATTTGTATTTTTGTATTCAAATTCCCGTCAGTGTATAGTCTGTGAAAATTTGATGCACTAAAATGCTGAGCTAAACCTAAACTGTGTGTAAAAACTTATCTAGACTTGTTTATTTGTTGACAGAGAAAGATCTACAGGGCTACAGTTCATGTGCCCACTGAGCTGGGCAAGATTATGGATTCAGAGACCTTTGAAAAGTCTCGCCTCTATCAGCTGGACAAGAGTAACTTTGGCTTCTGGTCTGGATTATACTCTGAGTTTGAAGGCACGGTGAGCATGAACCCTCCTCCACAGAAATGTATTTATTCATTCTTTTTTTGGCTTAGTCCATTTATTTAGCAGGGGTCACCACAGCAGACGGAACCGCCAACTTATCCAGTATATGTTTTACACAGCAGATATCCTCCCAGCTGCAACCCGCCACTGGGAAACACCCATACACACTCATTCACAGACATACACTATGGCCAATTTTAGCTTATTCAATTCACCTATAGTTCATGTCTTTGGACCTGTGGGGGAAACCGGAGCACTCGGAGGAAACTCACACCAACACAGGGAGAATATGCAAACTCCACACAAAAACGCCAACTGACCCAGCCGAGGCTCAAACCAGCGACCTTCTTGCTGTGAGGCGACAGGGCTACCCACTGCCTCACCACGCTACCCCCACAGAAATTCATGTTCAAAACACCCTTATTTAATGAATACTCCGTGTCATTAAATGTGTCGTAGTTTTATCAAGTATGATCCAGAGACTTTTTCGTGTCTTCTGAAAACTTGATATCTGTAGCGTTCAAATGCAAATTTCACATTAATCCTCTGGAGGGAAAATATTGTGGTTCCTTAGTTTTTTTATTTTATTTTTTTAAACCACTTGCTTCTGTCTCTTATCTACTGAGCATGTTTAATCTCTCTCTCTCTCTCTCTCTCTCTCTCTCTCTCTTTCTCTCTCTCTCTCTCTCTCTCTCTCTCTCTCTCTCTCTCTCTCTCTCTCACTGTATTGTGTAGCTAATACTGCTCCTTGGTGGAATCCCATTCCTTTGGAAATTATCTGGGCATCTGACAGCTCACTTTGGTTTTGGTCCAGAGTACGAGGTAGGCTTGGTCTCTTACAGTACAGAAGTCAACATTTGAAGTGGATCAAGAAAGTATTTCAAAAGTGTCCTTGAACAAGAATAGGTCTTGTTCATTAAGAACAACTTTTTAAATTATTGTTTATGTTCTTATCCTGATCTCTGTTTATTATTATTATTTTTATTATTATCTAACCAGCAACTTTTTTGTTGTGAGGCGAGATTGCTACCAACTGCACCACTGTGCTGCCCTTGTTTTCTTTATATTTAATTGAATGTTTCATTAGAATGTATTAATTCTGTTGCATTAATAATAAGAGAGATTAGTTAAGGTGCCATACTCTAATTCCCCCAAACATTTTTTTTTCATTCAGTCACTTACATTGGCCACACTACTAAGGCCACACATTAAGGTCAGGGATTAGATGGCAAGCAAACTCAGTTTTTTAACACAAAAGACATTTACGAGAAATCTGGATACCTGTAACCATTGACATCCACAGTATGCAAAAGCACTGCAGTGTTTGTGTGTTCTGTCTTTGTCTGAGGTAAATAGTCTACCTAAATGTGTATGTTCCATAAAAGTATGAAGCTGATCGGTCAGTTCTTGTCATGTGCCTTGCAGTTTTTTATCTGGCAGTGCCTGGAAAATGCGAGCATGTGCAATATGCAAAAGATGCAATATGTTAACGGCCCCATAAGCAGCTACACTTCTCTTCACATTCAGAAGATGCCTTCACTCCCAATCCTGCACAAAAATTTAGTTTATCCTGTTTATCCTGAAACAAAATACACCCAACTCTGGCAATCAGCATGTCTGATTAAAAAGATTAAAAAGAATAATGATCTCGGAGACTTTGAGATACCCTGACTGTTGTTTCTGGTCAGTAGTTGTGAGAAATTACTAAAAGCGGTCCATGAAAAAAGAATGTATCAACACTCAGTGCATTGTGTTTGATTTTTATGTGGTCTCTCTTCCTTCAGATCTCCCAGTCTTTGGTGTTTCTGATGTTGGCGACTCTCTTCAGTGCTTTTACTGGCCTTCCCTGGAGCCTCTACAACACATTTGTTATTGAGGAGAAGCATGGGTTTAACCAACAGGTACTTGAAAAGACTTTCTGTGACACAATGGTTAATGGAAGACAATGTTTATGCACATATTGTCAGTAAAGTTGGTTGTAGTAAATATCTCTGAAAACACTTTCAGATTCTCAAATTGAAAATGAATTAATAGGACCATAGTGAAATCCAAATAATTATTCTGTCATAGTGTTGAGCATGATGAGCACACCTAAGAGCATGGGAAAATACCACATATTAGCATATTATATTTATGCATTTTCTCCAAACTCACTTCATAACTTCAGTAGGAGTTTGGAATAAATTAACCGGTGCCATAATTCTGTAGTCTTGTGTTTATTAGTCACATTGAATCAATGAAAGTAGTTACATTTTATGTTTTTTTAGTAAAGCTAAGGGTATTTGCTAGCTTTCCTATTCATGGGTATTTGCAGAGTACGAATAATTAGCATGGGTACTTCGTGATCACACAATGCTTCCCTGACAAGATGTACATAATTTTACTTAAAAGGATAGTTCACCTAAAAATGAACATTTGTTCACAATTTACTCACCCTCAAGTAGTTTCAAAACATTGCACTTTTAAACCTTCAAACCTTTTAGTTGAACATATAAGAAGATATTTTGAAGTGTTAGAAAATCGTTGACTGTTAACTCCTATTGTGTAAATAACTAAGTCAATGATTAAAGTTTTCCAATGTTATTCAACTACTTTCTTACAGGAACTTTAATGACAAGTGCACTGAAGTGTATCTTCATTCTCTTCCTTACAGACACTTGGTTTCTTCCTAAAAGACGCTCTCAAGAAGTTTGCCGTTACTCAGTGTATTTTGGTACCAGTGACATCGTTGCTTCTTTACATCATCAAGATTGGCGGCGATTACTTTTTCATCTACGCCTGGCTTTTCACATTCATCGTCTCACTGGTCAGTTATCCTGTGTGATGGGCTGTCTCTGAGTAAAATGAAGTTGTAGACTGAACAATCCGCTTTGTTTTGGTGTACAGATTCTGGTGACTATCTACGCAGACTACATCGCCCCTTTGTTTGATAAATTCACCCCGCTGCCAGATGGAGAGCTGAGGAGTGAGATCGAAAGCATGGCCAAGTCCATCAGCTTCCCTCTCACCAAGCTCTATGTAGTAGAAGGTACAGCAAGCCATCTTCTTTTCATTTGTTCGTACATTCTGTAGAAGTGTAATTGTGACAGTCTTGATGTTCTCCTCCTTCATGATATATCTAGGATCAAAGAGGTCTTCGCACAGTAATGCCTACTTCTATGGCTTTTTTAAAAACAAGCGCATTGTGCTGTTTGACACACTTTTGGAGGATTACTCTCCTTTAAACCAGTCGGGAGAGAAAGAGCCAGGAACAGGGGAGGAGAATGAGGCGGTGGTCAACGAGAGCAAGGCCAAGCCAAAGGTCAGACGATCAGAGCCAGAACATTGAAATAAAATCTGTTGTGGTGCACTTGAACACATTGTACTGTTTGAAAGGAAAAAAGAGATTTACAGACTGAATTTTACATTTATAATATATCACAATAATATGCTTATTTTGCTGTATTTCTGTTCAAATAAATGCAGCCTTGATGAAATATTATTTAAAATCTTATATACCCAAGAGTTTTGAACGTAAGGGGGAAATATGTGCAATACAGTACTGCAAAATATGAGTATTAAGTTACAGTACATCTTTAACACCTTTTGTTCTCAGTGTTTTAAACATGTATTATTTCCTAAAATGTTCATTGTATATTCTAGAACAAGAAACAGGGCTGCTCTAACCCTGAGGTTCTAGCAGTTCTTGGACATGAACTTGGACATTGGAAACTAGGCCATACTGTCAAAAACATTGTCATCAGCCAGGTGAGTATGTGATTGAGCTGCATTGTTATGGATTCCTAAAATTTCCTCATTTTTGCCTTCTTCATTGCTGGTAAATGAATAGTTCACCCAAAAATGGATTTACCCATCCTATGCTGTAAAGAAGCATTTTAGCTAAAGCCGTTGTCCTATGGTGTAATTAAAAAAATCAATTTATAGCAAATCATCATCAGTACCAGCGGCTCCTGACAAAGCACTACGGTTGCATAAAGCTAAATAATCACTCAGTGCAAAAAAATGAAACATTTACATCTTCATTAGCTGTTATTCACAGCCTAGGCAAATGACTCTGAGCACATACACTGAGTATCTTGTCACATAATGACATATTTGCAGGTGAGAAATCAGCTTGAGCTGAAGCACCTGGGTTTGTTTACTGATGAGAGAGTGGACTGGTCCACAAATGTGTCGAGATGTGACGTTTTTTGCACCAAGTGATCGTTTACTTCATTAGATCTCAGTGCATCGTCAGGAGTCACTGGTACTAAGTGATTTGTTTTAAATAAGTTGTTAGAAATTCAAAGTGATTGCATTCACTGACCTCCATTATAAGAATACCAAAGCTGGTACCATACTGCAGAAGACCTATTGGGACCCTCATGGTCCCAAGATTTTCACAGAAATCAGTCAGGATTAGTGAAGGAAAAATCATGGTTTGGGATTACATTCAGTATGGGGGCATTTGAGAGATCTGCAGAGTGTATGGCAACATCAACAACCTGAGGTATCAAGACATTTGTGCTGCCCATTACATTACAATCCGCAGGACAGGGCGAATTCTTCAGCAGGATAGCGTTCCTTCTCATACTTTTGCCTCCACATCAAAGTTCCTGAAACTGGGTCAGCCCAGTCACCAGCCATGAACATTATTGAATATGCCTGGAGTAAGATGGAGGAGGCATTGGAGATGAATCAAAGGCTCTTGATGAACTCTGGGAGTCCTGCGAGAACCAACTTTGCAATCCCAGATGACTTTATTAATGTTATTTAAGTCATTGCAGACATGTATGGATGCAGTCCTCCAAGCTCATGGGAGTCATACACAATATACATTTTTCCACCCCACTATGACTTTATATTCTACATTGTTTCTGTTAAGTGACAAGACTTTTGTCTAAGCAAGGTCAGACCTTACTGTCATAATTAAATTATTAAAAATCAAGGCATGATCATATTTTTATTTTGGTAAACTAAGCGTAATTCAGAGGCCTTTTCATATTAGCCACTTTTGATACCAAATAATCAACTAGAAGTCAAGTTATTATTTGTTCTAAAACTTGGACAGGCAAGACTTTTGTCAGGTAGTGTACAGTAGCTGGTGAAACATTCTTGTTGTAGTGTTGATTTATCTATATTTTTTCTTTACAGATGAACTCCTTCCTATGCTTCTTCCTTTTTGCTGTCCTGATTGGTCGAAAAGAGCTCTTTATGGCATTTGGTTTTCATGACACCCAGCCAACTCTTATTGGGCTGATGATCATCTTTCAGTTCATCTTCTCACCTTACAATGAGGTAACATTGTAATTTAGCTTTTTTCTACCTCCTTCCTCTTGCTAGCTGAGCACATGATAAACCTGTACTCTTCACTCAGAAATTGTTTCATGTGGGACAATAGGTAAAACTTTAGGTCAGAATTCATGCTATTAACTACTGGCTTATTACCTGCCTATTGTTAAGATATGAACTGTTCATTAGTAGCTATAAAGCATGATCTTATTTTGCATCCCTAATCCTACCCTAATTAGTCGTTTATTAAGCTACTAGTGTTAGTTAATGATTTGTTAATATCATGAATTGTGGCCTGAAGTGTTACCGGACAATACAATAGAAATGCAGAACATTATTACCGAATATTCAATAGAGCTGCAGTATTAATTAAAATGCAGATATACTCTCACTGGCCACTGTATTAGGTACACCTGTCCAACCACTTAATCCAAATTTCTAATATTTCTAATCGGCCTATTACATGGTAGCATTTAGGCATGTAGACATGGTCAAGGCGATCTTCTGCAGTTTAAACTGAGCATTAGAATGGGGAAGAAAGGTGATTTAAGTGACTTTGAACATGGCATGGTTGTTGGTGCCAGACAGGCTGGTCTGAGTATTTCAGAAACTGCTGACATGCTGAGATTTTTACACACAACCTTCACAAATTCCTTGCTGATGCCAGAGGTCAGAGGAGAATGGCCAGACTGGTTCCAGCTTACAGAAAGGCAACAGTAACTCAAATAACCACTCGTTACAACTGAGGTATGCAAAAGAGCATCTCTGAAAGCACAATACGTCAAGAAAACCACACCGGGTGCCACTCCTGTTAGCTAAGAAAAAGAAACTGAGACTACAATTAGCACAGGCTCACCAAAATTGGACAGTTGAAAATTGGAGAAACATTGCCTGGTCTAATGAGTCTCGATTTCTGCTGCGACATTCGGATGGTAGAGTCAATCCAATAGAACACTTTTGGGATGTGGTGGAACTAGAGTCGCATCAAGGATGTGCAGCCGACAAATCTCCAGCAACTGATGCTATCATGTCAATATGGAGCAAAATCTTTGAGGAATATTTCCAGTACCTTGTTGAATCTATGCCCCGAAGAATTAAGGTATCTCTGAAGGGAAATGGGGGTCCAACCTGGTATTAGTAACGTGTACCTAATAAAGTGGCCATGAGCGTATTCCTAAGTGACAATACTTTGCTTTTCATTAAATCATTTTTTAAAAATAATTGATTCAGATTAATTCATAATTTGTTTTAAAAATGTTCATTCCAAATAGTTTAATTGCCTGTATTTTATTTAGCTGCCTTTTTAGAATCAAAGGAACATTTTGATCTCTTATTATAAATAAAAAAGTGATTCTTAGATTTAATCATAATTGTGCCGCTCACGCCTGATCCATGTTTGTCGTCTTTTTTTTTGCTGCAGCTGCTGTCGTTCTGTATGACAGTGTTGAGCCGGAGGTTTGAGTTTCAGGCAGATGCATTTGCGCGCGGTATGGGCCGATCATCTGAGCTGTACTCCGCTCTCATTAAGCTCAACAAGGACAACCTAGGCTTCCCTGTAGCAGACTGGCTCTTCTCCATGTGGCATTACTCCCATCCTCCCCTGCTAGAGCGCCTCAGAGCCCTCACTGGACCCAAGCAGGACTGACGGCATTTCAAGGGGGGGCCACGTTCACCAATCGCTCCCCCGAGAAAGGGTCTCCGCCGGCCTCTACTGGCACTCTGATGTTGATGCCTGTTTTTCTGTCCTTCCCATTTTTAAAATTTCCATTCATAAGTGTTTTGAGTTTTTCATTTGTTTGTTCTCGCCCTGTAGGAAAAAGTTTTCTGTTTGCTTCAATGGAGATGAGATGGTCATGACCTTTGTTAAGTTTGCTTGTTTCAGTATGCCTTTTACAGCTGTTCTCTTTTAATTTGTCTTTTAATTTATTAATTTTAAAGGATGAATTGTCCCCTCTGGATTGTTACACCCATTCATTTTGTTAGAGAGAGGTGAAAGCATTACACAGGAGAACTCTGCATTATATGAAACCAAGACATCCCATGAGAACCATGTGTACCTAAAATAACCAGAATGAGTATTTAGATGTTATATACCACCCAATGAGACCACTGCTCAGAACTTGAACGACTAAATAAGGCCAACTGAAATGTCCGATTCTTTCTAAATATTTTTTGTTGTCTTTATTCTAAAACCAAAAAGGGGTTCTGTAAATATTTTTTTTTGTGTGAAATGTGAGCACTCTTAAAGGGCAAGTGTGATTTTGAATATTTAATGAGTAGTTTAGAAATCTTGTTTTATAATTTAGTACATTTTCTCTCTGTGCCTGAGTGTGCAAGAATGTTGCAATGAGAATGTGTGGAAACGTTTCCCTCTGCTGTTTTCTTAATGAATTTAAACTGACTGGTATCTAAGTTTTACTGGTTGGAACTTATGAGGATTTAGTTGGCTGCTTAATTTGGCATACAATCTTGTAAAGAATTTTGAAGATTTTACTTTGAATGATATGTTAAAGGCTCAGAGCGGAGTAGTAGGGTCTTGAAGAGTCAATGAAATGGCCACCTGATGAAAATTAGCCCTGAACTGTAGGCTACAAATACTTTGTGAAATAGCAGTGGGATCACACAACCCACAAAAAAATATGTCTTTTGACTTCTGGAGTGATTGGACAGGAATGATTAACTTTTGCATCACTAAGAATAAAATATATCACTGCAATGTTGGTTCATTTTTTGCTCTGATAATCATTTTATTTGTACATATTTTCTAGAGAAAAACAAATAAGTAGTTTTGATTTACCTAAGTTTTGCTTACAGTATTTTATTTAACAAGATATATTTGCTCTAAACCTGCAGAGAGAGAACCAAATTAGAAAACAACGCTGTGTAATATGTCGCCAAATGTGACAGGAAGAGCGCCGCGCACGTCTGATCAGCGACTGACGAATGTACCATTATAAGTAACAACAAAAACTCCTAACACCCTATACGTTTCCAGCTTTTTAGTAATATATTTAAAATAATACGTCGACGTACTTTAGCTAATTAACAAAAAATTACACTTGGGTAGCTGCGAATATGAGTGAGATTTAGACAGCGCTCACCTATATTGCTACAGTAATGGTACGTTCCTGTTTTGAGTCGACGTTACAGACAGCAGCTCACGCTCATGTCAGTGCATGTGTTAACACCTGAACAAAAATGGCTAGGTTTCTGAACAGCAATATCAGGAAGTTCTTAACAACACAGATCAGGATGTCGTCCGATCAGGTAGATATTTATATGATATTTCGCCCAGTGACTTTCCGTAGCCTGCCAAAGACAAAGATGATTTGACTAATTCTAGTGCTATGTACTGTAACACGCAGTGTCACTCGCAATCTGTTCTCAAGTACTACGTTAGCTTTGACTTTGTCTTAATGTTATCATATGTTAGTTTTACGTTTTAAATACTAAGTTATCAAAATTTGTCAACACCGAACCGTTTTAACGCAATAAATAGATTTGAGGGTGCCCTTGTGTTGTGACCCTTTGTTTACATTCAGGAAAGTTCTGCAATCTTTGTCCTTCATCAGCAAGACTTGCTTTTACAGGATATATATATATATATATATATATATATATATATATATATATATATATATATATATATATATATCCATATATACACGGTGCTTGTCAGCCTATCAGTCACTAATTACTAGTTGAGTAATAAATTGTTTTGTTTTGTCTTGTGCAACCTTCTCTCTCTCTTTCTCTCTCTGATAAAGTTAGGTGAACTGGGTAAAGGTGCTGGGAAAGGAGGTGGTGGTGGAGGTGCCGTGAGGCAGGCTGGAGGTGCATTTGGCAAGAAACAGGCCGCTGAGGAGGAGATGTACTTCAAGTGAGTGGTTTTGCTTGAGCTGATAATTATGTAATTGCTTATACTTGATATCTACTGGCCATTAGCTGAGTATTATTGAAAAAATAACTGAATGTAAAGCAACCTAAACCGTTACTTCATGACCTATTCTGTCATTGTATTTCCTTCACAGGAGAAAAGAGCAAGAACAGCTGTCTGCTCTGAGAAGACACCACCAGGAAGAGATTGACCATCACAAGAAGGAAATCGAGAGATTACAGCATGAGATCACCCGCCACGAGAGCAAAATCAAGAAACTCAAACATGATGACTGAGGCATTAAGACAGAAAATACAACACATGAATTGTGAAACTGCTGAATATTTGTAATTGCTTATTTACTAAACAGTGAACTCTGTGATTATACTATTATAAAAGCATGTTATAATACAGATATGGTTATATAACTGAAACAACACATTGTGTATTAACCCAGTGCATTTTCCCTCTTTTGACAATAAACAAGAAATTGTCTCGAATGTAAAAGTGTGTCTTGGTATCAATACGTTTGGTGAAAGCTAACTATTAGCTAAACTAACTAAAGCTAACTATTGGTTTGAGAGCTAAATGTATCTTAACTGTTACTTTCAGTCATATAAATAGGTTATGTCATCTGACCAGACAATTAAAGGTTCTGACACCAATGAATGACCCAATATTGTATAAATATGAGATATATTAAAATATGCCGTAATGCTGGGTTTCAGGATCAGATTGAGAAACACTGCTTTAGAAAATGTTCGAGACAACACTTCTTTATTATTATATTTTTAATATTTTAAAGGCGTTGTAGCTCATTGGAGCCCAGCTGATGGCAGTAGACATAAATAACAGGCATTACAAACGTCCTCTGAAGAACAGCTAATCCTAACGTCATTTCCGATGACGCGAAAGCTCCGCCCTCGCCCCTGTCTTTTACGCCAGGCGGCCCCGCGTGTCTTTCTTTTCCCACATCATGGCGGACCGATTCAATAAGGTGCGTTCGAGTGGCACAATTTACATTCTCATATCTCGCGTTTCCTCGCCGTGGGAATGTAGTATTTGGTGGTTTATAAGTAGTTAACGTCAACTACCGCCTTTTGCGTAGTTTGGATAATGTCCAAAACGTAAAACTATGTTTTTGGGAAAGAAACGTGTGTGTGTGTGTGATCACGCATGATGTGAGGCTGGACGTCGCAGGCCTGTTAGTGATCGTAACACTCGTGGTGCTGTAAAACCCGGAGTAGCGTTGATGTCCACGCTCAGGTACTTTACAAATCAACTGCTTCTGCTTTAGGATGAAATTATAGCGTGTTCAGCGTTTATAGGCCTTTCTCAACCAGCGGCGCAAATGGGCTTACGTTCTGCACCGGTGTCCGGTCCATAGCACGCATTGCTCTGTTGTGCGATATATCCGAAATAAGTTTTTTTTGTATGGCGTTATAATATGCTAATATTAACTACTTTTAGGTTAACGTCAGATTAGCTTTTTGTCGGTGACGAGCTCGCAACCACAGTTCAGTATTCGAGTTTAACGACCATGAGAATACTTTACGTGCACTACCATCTGAGACAAAAAGCTTAATTAATATTTTGATATTATGAACTCTAAGTAGCATAAGTATCTAATTAACTTGGGTTTTATTTATTACCAGGTTCTGATCATTGATGGCCGAGGCCATCTCCTCGGTCGTCTTTCCGCTATTGTGGCCAAGCAAGTGCTGTTGGGTGAGTTTACATATTTAAGGTAGATAAAGTCTGGTATCAAATATTTATAACCATTCTTTTTACTAATGAATCTGCATTGTTTGCAGGCCACAAAATTGTGGTGGTGAGGTGTGAGGGTATCAACATCTCTGGAAACTTTTACCGCAACAAATGTAAGTTTGACCATCAGCAAGTGTGTTGTCTTGGGGTGTGTTCACTTGTTGTTTTGGTCCTGACTGAAAAAGTTATGCGTTTTAGCTCTGTTCATGTAATATTATCACTTTATTCTGATTAGTCCCCCCCTCTGCCCCAAAGGTCTTTCCTAATAGGGTCCCAAACTGTCTTTTTTTTTTTTGCTTAACATGTTTGTACATGTGTTGAGCTTTATAAAGATGTTATAAAATTTAAAGATATTTAAAACTGCATCAAGATTTTCTGCAACATGGAAGCTTGATTCATAGTATCAGGTGTTGAAGCATTCTGCCTTAAAGTCCCATTAAATCACACCATTTATTTTAGTTTGCTGTGTATCTTTCAGTCTAAAGTTTAATTGGAAGTGGACTGATTTATATCTGTATTTTTGTGAGCATCAGTCTTCAGATGGCCACATGCTCATAACTATTCAAATTTAATTGGACCAAAACTGCTGAATGTGAACATGCCCTAAAGCAATTTGACACATGTGATACTAAATTACAAGTTTTCAAACAATGATGAACTCCTTTATCCCGAATCTGAGCCAAGTTTGATGATACCAATCTACGGATCTGACTACTGAGTTTGAGTCTTAGATTATTTGTAGTCAGTAAAGTCATTTTGATTAGTTGAAACTAAACTGGATGTTGTGTTTGTGCAGTGAAGTATTTGGCTTTCCTCCGCAAGAGAATGAACACCAACCCTTCCCGTGGACCATATCACTTCAGAGCCCCCAGCAGAATCTTCTGGAGGACTGTAAGAGGTGAGATTTATCTTTCTGTTGTAGAAGCAAGCATTGGCTACATTTCAAACAGTGATGAACTCCTTTATCCCGAATCTGAGTCCAGTTTGCTGATACCCATCTACGGATCTGACTACTGAGTTTGAATGTCAATGCTTGTCTGTTCGGTTACATCTCTACAATGGATGAGTGTCTGATGTGTTTTTTTTTTCTTAATCAGGTATGCTTCCACACAAAACCAAGAGGGGTCAGGCTGCTCTGGACAGGCTGAAGGTGTTTGATGGCATCCCTCCACCTTATGACAAGGTAGATTTATTCGGTCTTGCACAATTTCACAGATTAATTCTGTCAATGATGCCACTTTTCTGCCTTGTTTGAGTGTCGACTGAGAATACACAAAATTAACTGAGACATCTTTACTTCTGGAGTCAGCAATTGGTCTTTCTCGTGGTTTCTAATCTCTGATTGTGTTCCACAGAGAAAGCGCATGGTTGTCCCAGCTGCTCTCAAGATTGTGCGTCTGAAACCCACACGCAAAGTGAGTGCTCAACCCTCCCCTTAATGTCTCAATTTAAGTGTACAATATGTTCTAACGTTTGCTTTTTGTCAGTGATGTTTTTCCACAGTAAGTATGAGTTTAACGACCATGAGTCCACTTCATGCACTACCAGCTGAGACAAAAAGCCACAGATTTACCCATTTTAGTTTAAAGTCCAGAAAGCTTGAACCAATGTAGACTCATTTAATACTTGTTTTAGTGCTGCTTGTTCCCCGTTATAAATTGTATTTTTCCTGTCTTTCACTAGTTTGCCCTGCTTGGACGATTGGCCCATGAAGTTGGCTGGAAGTACCAGGCCATCACCGCCACACTGGAGGAGAAGAGAAAGGAAAAGGCCAAGCTGCGCTATTCCAAGAAGAAAGTTGAGATGAAGCTGACTAAGCAGGCTGAAAAGAACGTTGAGAGCAAGATCGCAGTATATACTGACGTTCTTAAGAAATATGGTGTTCTTGTTTGAGCTGTCCCTGCAGCTTGTCAAAATAAATGTTTATAAAAACTATGGTCTTGAGTGGATGGATTGTGTTTTTGAGTTTAGAATTTAAGTTCATATCCAATGAGAGGGCTCTGGTCGCAGACTTGGTGCAGTGCAATCTGAGCTGCATCCAATTATTATTTTTTTTTGTAATAATGCACTCACCTAACCCTACCTATTACAGTGAGGTCACTCACTCCATTAAGTGCATTGTCTGACATTGCATTGCTGAGTGATGCAGTCTCAACTTGCGTCATAAAGGCTGCATCCACATACTATTGTATCCAATGGCATAATTGGTTTGAACAATGGTTGTGTTAGTGACTCTGTTCTAACATTTAAGGATGTTTTTTGTAATAATTAAACCAATTGTTCACCAAAAAAGGATGTTTTTGTTATCTAAGCAGCATTTTCTAAAACTGGTTGACCAATGGTTTATTGGAGAACTTTTGCATTTAATTTACCATGTTTATAAAATTGATGCTTTTTTAATTGCATCCTCTGTCAGACAAGAATTTGTTCTTCAGTTCAGCTAAATAGCTCAAGTAAATCTGGCCCTGTTCATTTTGATGGTTGACTAACATCTAAATTTTAGAACAGATTTGCTGAATATATTGCTTACGAGTTTTGTTTTTGTTAAGGCCTAGTAAAGTAAAGCTGTACGTTTTTTTTTTTAGAACTATACGCACTCGAAGCTAAATCTAAAATCTAGGCCCGAAGTCGCCTTCGTCGGACTTTTATTTTGACACCAGATCAAATCGTGAATTCACGTGACTTTCAGTATCAAACATGGCTTTCATGACACAAGATCAGTTCACTGCTTTGCAACTGCTGTTAAAGGTAGTGTAATATCACATACTGTTTAGTATATCGCTGAATTACTTGGCTTGATTGAGCTCGTGTATTCTGCCATCTTTTACTTTGATTCAGGCTCCGTCTAAAGATGCTGTTCGGCAGATCTGCACAGAGAGTTTCCCAGCCGGAGCCTTCAAGAGTCAGTCTGTAGTGGAGAAAACTGCCAATGCTCTCTCTGTCTCTCACAATGAAGCGGTCCAGGTGGGTTCAAGCGTTTTCATGCGTTAATTTTTCCGTCTAATGTGTTTCATGATGCTTACTAATGTAATTGGAAGAACACAGAAAATGCTCGTTTGGTCAATACAGTTGTAATAAAAGTTAACACCAATCATGATAAGTTGGTGTTTCATTTTTGTGAGAAAACTAAAAGATAATACGATAATAGTGTACATTTATTTTTAGTTAACGTACGCTGTTATTTCATAATAAACTTGTGAATGTGTATTGAAATTGTATTTGTTATTTATTTATGGTCACTAGTGTGATCACTATCATGTTAACAATTTTTTTTTCATTCATAAATTGTCATTATTACAAATGTTCTGATACCATTTTAATTCAACTATAATACATTTGTAAAATACATTAGTAACTCTTCATCCTTCGAAAGATTTTTTATTTTATTTTATTTTTTTACAAATGTCTCCAGTTAAATTGAAAACATTATGAAAGGCTTAATGTAGTTTTAAAAACAATGTAGATATTTTTGGTCTTGAAATATTACTTTCCAAATCTTTTGAGCCATACTCTGATACCATGTAATGTCTTAATGTTCCTTATGTTAAATGGGTTCAATTTTAAGAGTGCAAAAAATTGAAATTGTGTTTTTTGTTTTTTTTTGTGTATCCCTCAACAGCTGCTGACTGCATTTCACACACTTTCACATCACATTGTGTATCATAACTTAACATCTCCGGAGCAGATCCTGTCAATTTTCCCAGAATCATTCCACTCAAACCTAAAGAACCTGATCACCA